ATTGTGTAATAATGTGAAAATCTTCCTTACCTTTTCTCCCACTGTACCTCCCCTGCAGCAGCAGTGGAGAATAGACAACCAGCCTCACAAAAATGAATGCAATTCTCTCTCACACACACACACACATTTCTCCCTTGGGGAAGCGTACAGCCACGATATCATCTCGACTCAGCATCTAGCACAGCAGCACTGCTTCAGTTGGTCTCTGAGGACCATTTAGAAAACACGTCATGGTTAGAGTCCTTGCCGTGAGCTGTCTTAGTTGTGCTGTCTTGAAATCCTCCTCTTTACTAAGCAGCATACTACCTCCTCATCTTAGGCTACACCTAGACTACAAAGAAAAGTCAGAGAAAGATATGCAAATTGCAGTTTGCAATTCGCATATCTTTTATTCGCTTTTCTTTCAAAAGAGGCTCTTCTGAAATTTGGCGTATCTTCACAGCGCCAAATTTCAGAAAAACCTGCTCTTTCGACATATCTCCTATGTCTCAGAGACTGAGGTTTACAGGGATGGCAAAAGAGCACGCCCGCTTTTCTGAAAAAAATTTCGGACACATTCCTTGGTATCCCGAAAAAGCACTGAGGTCTAGACGAAGCCTTAAAGTGAGCAAGGGCATAATCCCTAACTAGAATCAAGAGACTGTGGGTATGTCTATATTACAAACACTGGAAGATATCTTCTGGAATAGCTTATTTTGAAAGAGAGCACCCACAATACAGGGAAGCCTCAAAATTAGTCTGAGGCAGGCTTTCCTAATGTAGACATGCTATCTCAACTAAGAGTCCCAGGATGCACTGGGGAGGAGCTATTTTGACACTGGGGAGGAGCTATTTTGAAATAGCAGCAGTGGAACATTCTACACACACCCTCTTCCAAAAAATCTTTTTTGGAAAAGGGCTTATTCCTCATGGAATGAGGTTTACTGCCGTCGGAAAAAGCCACCTGTTATTTCAGCTCTGTCAAAAAAACGCAATTGCAGTGTGGACACTAGTATTGTTTTTCCGGAATAAAGTTTGTTGTTCTTGGACGCTAGTATTGTTTTTCTGGAATAAAGTTTGTTGTTCTGGGGAAAAACGGCACAGCGTAGATGCACCTTGAGTCATGTATAGGTCATTATACATCGCTTCTATTGGCATGGCATCGGGAGATTTCACATTCCCCGCTTACATTCGGAAAGGCAAGAGCAAGCACATGGACAGAGACGTCGATGTTGGGATGATGTGCAAGAAAGATATTCCAAATGTATAGGATGCTTTAGTGTAGCAGGACTCTTTGTGCTTAATTCTTACCCTCTCAGTCGTGGTACCTGCCCTCCCATTGCCATGCTGCTGTTTTCTGTGCGCATTGCATCAGAAGTGAGCGTGGAGGGTTGGGTGGTGGATGTACACATTTGGGGTAGGAGTTTTTCACATTCCCGTGCAGTGTGGGGGAGAACCAGAGGATCCTTGGTATCCAAGCCAAGGAAGGCGATGACTTTGCCAGGAGACAATAGCCCAGGGAGGTAGGCAGTGCTGAATTATGGAAGATTTTGGAAGTAGACACAAGAAGTGTGTTTGACATGCCGAAGAGAGGGAGCCAATGGAATGCCTTGAAGAAGAGATGGATGAAGTTGGACACAAACCACTAAGATCATTTTGAGTGGACGTGAGGGAGAGAGGGGTGACGAGGTTTTGGAATTGAGACCAGGGGAGGAAATTGCACTAGACAACGTGATGACTTAGGTCAGCATTTCTCAAGCTGTGGGTCGCGACCCCCAGGGAGTTGCAAGCAACTTAGAGGGGGGTCGCAGCTGGATTCAGTTTTTCACTTGCGACCCCTCTCCCCTGGGCAGCGAAGAGCGGCAGGGCGGCGGAAGGCAGCCGCCAGCAAGCCACGCAGCGTGGCTGGGGTCGCAGGACTCAGGAGCATGGCTCAGCTGCAGCAGGAGGCAAGGCAGCGGGAGAGTGAGGCCGGCACAGGAGCAGACGCACGAGGGGCCGGCCTGGGCACAGTTGCTGGGTGACCAAACGTTTCCCCAGCTGGGAGAGAGCTGGGGAATTGGGTTGGGGCAAAGGACCCTGAGGTAAAACAAGGGCACATGGGGGTCAGAGGAGGAGGCAGAGGAAACATGGGAGAGAAGTGGAGGATGGAGCAGAGAAGAGAGAGAAGGAACCAAAGGGACGCAGAGTGGAAAAGAGAGACAGAGGAGAAAGAGATGGGGGGGAAGGAGTCTGCAGGGGGCAGGGTGTTAAGGACTGCAAATGCCTTGAAGGAACCCCAGGAGGGCAAGGAGTCTGGTGAGAAGGGGGGAGGAAGCGACCCAGGGCAGTGACGTGGGGAGGGCGAGAGGGTCTCACAGATTCATTTAGCATTTTAGGAGGTTGTGGTATCACAAAGTTTGAGAACCCCTGACTTAGGTGATTAGAAGAGTCAGGCCGTGTATGCAAGCTGCAATATAGCAAGAAGTACCAAGAGTTAAACACAGCTTGAATGGAGAGCGAATGGAACAGAGGCCTAGAGAAACATATGTAGGCTGCCACCCTTCTAGAGGGAAGATTACCAGCAATAACAGAAACTAATGGCTGAAGCCGGCTCCTTTTAACAAATCCTGTGATCTAAACTTGTATGATACGTAAGGAATTAAAACCCAACCAACACTTGAATTACCCTGATAAACTTTGAAAAGCAATAGTTTTGTTTCTTTAAGGGGGGGGTGTTTTGTGTTCCATTGTCCACTAGAGGTTGAACCTCTCTAGTCCAGCACCATGGCTTGGCAATATCCAGGATCCGGCATGGTTTTACTAAGCCAGATGTTCACTTACCATAAATGTGGCCAGGTTTCCCACAGTCCCATAAAGTTTGTTTACAGACCAGCTCTCTGTCTTCTGTGCTGTTATGTAGCTCCCATTTACCCCTATATGTTTTCTAAGAGCCCAGTAAGCAGTGGACATGATGGTTATGCCACTAGACAATTTTCACCTCCCATGATCCAGCAAATTCTCTGCTTTGGCACTGGTCAGGTGCTGGAGTAGAGGTTCAACCTGCAGTACATTTGAGCCTGCCAAAGAGCCAAGCAATAGCCTTCCCCATTCAAGTTATAATAGGGAACAAGGCTTACAAAGATGGTGTTTCTGCTCATGAATTCCAAATTCCCCTTACTTTCACTGCATGCATAACTCTCCCTATAATTTTTCCTTCCATGCTGCACTTCCCACTAGCACCCAGACCATCATCCGTTTGTGTGCCAGAGAACTGCTGCATGCTGCCAGAACAGACCCTGAGTCAGCAGCTTGTGCCAGCCAAGCACAGAAGTGCCATAATTTTCCCCTCAGTGGGTAGCCATTCTCATGACTGGTCCCTTGTGCTTGCTACGGCGAGATGAGTAAACAGGCTGCTCATTAGAAATTGTATTTCTCTGTCTGACCTGTGCCTTTGGGAATATTTACTTCTAAAAATATTAACCTTTTAGAATACAAACTGCTTCAACACTCATATGTTTGTATGGGGAGGTGTTTTTCTTTTCCCAAGTTCCTAGTTCCTTAGCTGCTTAGACGGCCAACAAGGGGCAGGAGTTCAAAACTCTGTGTAACATGGCGCGACTCACTGCCGCGGTGCCTCTGGCCACTTGGGAGCTTGCTCAGTGCTAGAGCGCCTCCTTCCAGACGGTGTCTCCCCTGCCGTTACCTGTTTTTCTGTTAATGGCTCTGCCACCTTACGTTAGAACCTGCGTCCCTCCAAGACCATGGTGCCCTTCCCTTGGGGTACTGCCCTGCCTCAGTGCCCCCACACCCTGGGATCCTCCTATTCAAGGATCCCCCAATCCCCTATACATACCTTGCCTCAGTGAGCCACTGCCAGTTGTCATCTAGCCCCGTGTCTCAGGGGCAGACTGCAGTCTGAAATGGCCACTCATCACTGGCAAAGGGGTATGGACCCGCTGCCTCCCTGCAGCCCTAGTACTCCTCACGCCCCTGTCATTAGGCCTTAGCCTGGGACTACACAGGCCAGAACTCCCCTGGCTCACTCTGCCTTTCCCCAGCATTGCTCTGTCTGTGGTAACTCACTAGCAGACAGCTAGGGCCTTATCCTTCCGAAGATGGAATGAGTGTGTTCAGCCTGGCCAGCCATGTCTTTTATACAGCCCTCCTAGCCTCTGATTGGCTAGCTTTAGCTCACCTCCAATTGGCTTCTGGGTCAGCCCTCTCCCAGTGCTGTCTTTAACACTTTTCCCTGGAGCAGGGTGACTGCCCCACTAAACTCTAACACAAATAAGCAAGAGATCTTCAGCAGAAAGCTTAAAATAAAATCCTGTGGATACAGCAGTCCCGCCAGCACCATGCCGAGAGAAACAAACAGTTGACCAAGAAGTTGAAAGCAAACGCAAAGGGTGATGAAGAGTAAATGCACAGAAATGTAGTTGTGGGGGAGCCCTTTAGATGAATCCTGGCTGGAAAAGTCCATTTTCAGCTTAGTTGTGATCTCAGTCCATTAAATACGTGATTGACATTCCATGTGAGATGGGGCTGGAGTTCTGTCATTTGCAATCCACTCAATGCCACCTGAAACCAATCCCTGGTGAATATTTTATAACGTGTAAAATCCACGTTACTGACAGTGCTGCAGCACGAGAAAACGATTCTCCTTTCAAATCATGCCTCCTATCCAGTCTTTCAAAGGTGAATGGTCAACCAAAGAACAGAGGAGAAACCTGTGCCTTTTTCCCGATGGGGCCACCATCTGGTTAATTGGTGTATGTTATGTCTCTGGTATTGTACTGAGTTTCTCATTGAGACTATAAGCCATATGGGGAGGGACTGTATTTTCTGTATGCGCTACTGCACCAAACATACTTTTGGCTCTCTTCAAATTAGACCCTTCTAAGAAGTTAGTTTGAAATAACCAGTTTGAAAGATGTTTGCACTTGATCTGTTTTATGGTGCGTTATGCTCTGCATTGACTAGAATAGCAAAAAATAAAAGTACTTTAATTGTTAGATGATTTTGGTTTCTGAAAGGCGCTTAATCAGATTTCTCATTTCATGGTCCAAGGAGCCAAATATATTAGGTTCTGCCAGCTCCTTACGAAAGTGTGGAGGTGGATTTTTAAAAGCAGCCGAGGACGTGTTCAGCCATAACAAGTTGCTTCGTGTAGTAATCTTGCCAACTCTCCATTTTATCGTGATTCTCTCCATGTTCAGTGCTTTTCTTAAAGCCCCCACTGTTAGCACTAGAAGGCTGCAACAAAATCTCATTTTTAAAAAAAACAAAGGAGGCTTCTAGCCCCCATCGTTGCAGAGAAAAGCCGGAAAGCACAAAGCTATTGCATCCTGAAAACCAAACAAACAAAATTCCTCAGAAGCAAATAAAAGACCCTAGCATTTATTTGTTTTAAAAAGCATAAGATTCTTATTTTTAAAAAGTCAGTGTTATGATTCGGGGGGAGGAAGCTAAAATAAAGATCTTTGAACTTTTGGGGTTGGAAGTGCTGCTGTGCTCTCTGGCAGGAGACACTTGGTTAGGTGCAAAAATAGTTTGGGTCCTTTCGATTTACTGGTCTGGATCATCTGCTTGGATGGAAACCGAAGGAAGCAGACTGCCCACGCTGCCCCTTTTGGGTACGAGTTGGCACGGAAAAGGCCACAGAGTCTACCCGTGGCCTACAGGGGTCTGTCTGTCCCTATGGAGCCTTGTGAATTAGTCACCATTAGCTGTGGTCCCTGGGTTACCAGCCATGCTGCTACTCTGCCCTCAGGACCTTGGCTTCACCATAGCCTCCCTATTATGACAGCAGCCTCCAGAATCAATTTCCCCCGTCTGTGAGGTGGGAGAAACATTGTCCCTCCCGGGAAGGGGGCAGGGTTGCAATGCTTTGGATTATGTAACCTGCTACTGCCTTGCTAACTTTCTTTTCATTCTCTTCAGAAGGGTAGCCAAGTTAGTCTGTACAGGATAAACCGGAAGAGCTCTGGTCATCTGAAGAAGTGGGCTGTGCCCACAAAATCTCATGATACCATCTCCATGTTTTGTTAGTCTTTAAAGTGCTACCAGACCGTTTGTTGTTCTTTAAGTTTTTCTTTTCATTGTGATTACAAAGCCTGGATCTGAATCCCCCATGCGAAAGGATTAGTTTTTAAGTGCCTATCAGCAGTGAATAAGGAGGTTAATCTTTTTAACAATACCCGAGCCTTTAAACTGACACAACATTTCCTTCCTTTCTTTTAGTTGCATGAGTTTTTCAATGTTGGCAAGGGGATTTTTGATGACATAGCACGAAGATTTCCAGTGTACGCTTTGGACTTCACTGACGGTAGGTTGGCCAATGTTTACAGAAGCATTGGCCCGCTTTTAATTCTTGTGAGATGATGTCCTGTTTACAATGTGAATTGAATATGTGCTTTGATACCTCTGTTGGCCCTTTTTATTTGAAAGAAAATCAAGATAGAAACCTATAAATCATTTCTGAGCTGACATGACGGATGTTTAAGGACTTGAGAAACTTGCAACGGTCTCTTCTTAATGAAGGTGGTTGGTTTGATCTAAATTAACTCCCTGTTACATTGTCTGCTGGTGATTACATCAATGTTGTCTGCAAAGGGATGTGAATCAAAATTGATCAGAAACTAATCAGTTTCAGTCATTACAGTGCACAGTCCATCTGCTCCTATCTTTGTAAGCCAGCTATTGCCTATCCAGAGCGGTTGAGTGCTATTACAAACGGAAGTTATGGGACCTTCAGCAGAATGTCTTTTATGAAGAAGATGGTCTCATTAAGGTTCATAAGTGATGCAGAAAAGCATAGTGCTATAGGCCAACCTAGATATTAGATTAGGGTTATGATGGGTGAGACATCAACCATAAGGTGGCACACTCAATTGACTAAGCTAATTCCTGGACTAACCAAAACCAGGTGCCCATGGTCATGAGTTGACCCCACAACAAATATATACCTTTTTTTTTTAAGTTGTCAGATTCAGGATATGCTGTCAACAAGTGGCCAATTTCTGTGATCCTCAGCTGAGCAAATATTTCATTGTCTTCAGTGGGAATTTTATTCAATTAAGGACCTCTGAATTTACTATGATACAAGTTATAAGTTACAAGTTGTGATGTTACATAGTAGTGTGTGTGTGTGTGTATATATCTATATATATATATCTATATATATATAAAAAAATATAAAACCAGTTTATAGTACCTCCTGATAGTCCGACATAGCTGATAATCCGGCACCAGCTAAATCCCATAGGTTCCGGATTATCGGAAGTCTACTGTACATGATTTAATGCACCTATTATAGTAGCATCAAATGTAATTTGTAAATGGTCATCCGGTTATATCCACAAAACCAAGGAGTCCCATGGTGCCTTAAAGAACAGCCGATTTATTTGGGCATCAGCTTTCGTGGGCAGAACCCAC